CGTGGGTGCCACATCTTCTGATACCTGATCAAAAGCGCACCAGGTTGGATGCATCACAGGAAAATCTGATATTGTTTCAGGCAGATCCAGCTTGTTTCCTTGAACATTTTCTAACCCAGGGTGAGTGTTGGGTTTAACATTTTGGCCAGAAACAATCCATGCTCACCTGATCCAATGGCTAAAGTCATTTCACCTGCAAGGAAGGTCAATTTTTGGGGATGCAAAACATATTGTGTTTATTGACTATTTTCAAAATTGCCACACCACCAATGGAGAGTACTATGCCAATTTGATGAGTCAATTACAAAAGCCTATCAAGATCAGATGCCCAGGGAAACTGACAAAAGGAGTCTTGTTTCATTAGGATAATGCTCCAACACACAAGTCCTTGGTTTCAAAGGATGCTGTGCATGACTGTGGCTTTGAACTGGTTGATCACTTTCTCTTTTCTCCTGATTTGACTGTCATTTGTTCTTCAACATGAAAAAACACTTGGCTGGAAACTAGTATCATAGTGATGATGAAGTCATATCTGCTGTTGATGACTTTGACTAACAGGATAAATAGTCTTCTTTGAACAGTTAAATGTCAGTTTAGCTAGAAATAAACAATGCAGGTTATTAATAAGAAGAGATGAAATTAATGCATGCAAGAATTCACAGCTCTAGTATCACTCCTTCATAGTCAGCATATGAACTTTTCAACACATCCTCATATAATGGGTCAGTAGAAAATGGTATATTTTCTAAAATCAATTTTGAATTGATTTTTGGACTGAAGCAATTACCAGTATTCAAATTTTCGTCTAAACAGAGCAGCCTCACACTTGATAAGGGAATAACACACAATTACAACCAATTACTTTTCTCATGTTTTAAGCAAAGTTTTTAAATAAAAGTGAATATTTGACAAATATTAGTTATATTACGTTTAAAAAAAAAAAAAAAAAAAAAAGGTACCATGTAACTTCCCAGATTTAGTGCGACCAAAGACTAGGGGAGGTAACTCGATTTCCCGTTATTTACCATCTTAGTTGTAAAGGGGAATAACTATTAAATGTTGACTATTTGGTGCATAGAACTTTTTTTTGTTATTTTTTTATTGTGACTTGCCTCATGGATTAGTTACGTGTTTCATAGTGTTCGAAATCATGTAAAAAGCAGAGATTGCCAATTTTTCAAATTTGGGAGGTTTTCTCCACTTAGAATTTTGACGCAATACTGTCTTCTTACCATCACTCAGTCTTCTTATGGCAAACAGTCAGTAAATAAATAAAAGCAATAAAAATTAATTGTTTTTTTTTAAAAATGAAAAACCTTTCTTGAAGCTTTTATTTTAGTCATAATTTCCAGCTAATAGATTAAACTTAAAATAAGCAAAATACTTTGCTGTATTTCAAACCAAATCTAAATTGACTGGATTTAAAAAAAAAAAAAAACACAGACAAAATTTTCAAAGCTAAAATATACTTTTCTGAAACTTTATTCAAGGAATATTAGCTGATTTAAAGTTTAATCTGGTTTACAAATATTACTTTTAGTTTAAAACACCATAGAAAAGCATTTAACATGGAGATGGGTGTTTTTATAAGATATTGACAACTCTCTCGATAGAATTATACTTAGCAAATTTTTATGGGGGACATAGCTGTAACAATTACTTGATGAATATAATTTAGTGATCTATAAAAATGAGACACTTCCTGTTGATCTCTCTCTCTCTCTCAATAGAAGTAACACCAACATGATGGAGCATGTTCCTGGCCTGGGATATCTTTCACTGGGTGACTAAACTCTCTCTCTCTCCCTAATTTTTACATTTTAATGTTTTCTTTTTCAGCTATTTTTTTTAACACACACATAGCATTATATTTTATTTCTTGTTAATCATTTATTAGTGTTATATAGGAATAATGTGTCACTGCCAACACTGGAGTTTGAACACAGATCACCAGAGAGCAAACACAGACGATCACATTTTGAATAAGTAGATCATATGATGGCAAAGGAAATGTATATATGGGAATTAGCATGGTGTCTAAATGATGACTGTTTCTATTCTATCCTCTATTACTATATAGATCACTCTTTCTACACTACCCTCTATCTCTATACTGTTCACTATACTATTTCTCTATATGGATTACTATTTGGTAGTTACTTTTCAAGCAAGTATTATCAAGCAAGTACTATTAGTGCGAGTGTTATTCGAAAATGTCTGACACCAGTATTGTTCAAGTGCGATTACAAAGTCTCGACTACAATGAGCATTACGAAAGTGACAAGTATTTGAATGAATGTTTGTTGACATCAAAAAAATTAGCCATTTATAAAACATGAAAATATCACCTTGTTAAAATTTATTGTTCCTTTTTTACATTTACAAACCAGTCGTTTAGATGTGTAAATTTTGTTTGTCTTTCTATTTTTAGTTCAACCAGGAGCAGTACTGCAACAAACTGTACCTATATTTATGAAATTATCTAAATCTATTGAGATTACTGTTGAACAAGCTTTTACTATAAGTCTCATGACACACTTACCATTGACGTACATCCATTTTAGGATTTTGTTTAATAACTATGGTAATATTTCTGCAAATATTGAGTGTAACAACAAATGTACTAACTAGTTTTGCATGACAACAGTTCTTTTCCATTATACATACCATATTTTTGTGTGCAAGACAAATTTTTTTTTACCACAAATTTTGATGTCAAGATCTGCTTATGTCAGACACACTGAAGCTATGAATAATATATAAATGATAAAAAATGAAGACACTAATGCAATAAAAAACACAACTGGCTGGTGAGTTAATAAATCAGCTGCAACCTGTCAATGTTTCTACTAACAAACCCTTTAAGACTTTAATGAGGAAGGAATGAAACAACTGGATACACTATGAAGATTTAAGTACAACACCTACCGGACAAAAGAAAAGGCAAACACTTGCTCGGGCGTACATATATGTGAAGAATTTGTGGGGGTAAAAATATGTGATATCATGATTAAGTCATTCAAGAAATAAGGTATCCATAATGCAATAGATGGGAACAAGGAGGGCATTCAATTCTGTTTTATCATCTTGGACCCAATTATAAAATATCTGAACCAAACTAAACAGTAAACTATGTATGGCAAAGTGGAAAAAGATTATATTCAATGTGAAACAAGTCTCATAAAACTATCCAATGGATAAAATTATATATATAATTTTCCTACCAACTAACTATCACAACTACAATTAAAAAGAATTCTCTAGACTCATCATAAAAAAGACTTAGTTAATACTAAACAAAACAATAAGCTAAAACTTGAAGGAGGAATTTACTTATTCACCTGTAATAACTGTCACAAATAATACATAGGAGAAACCTCAAGGAATCTAAATAAAAGATTATATGAACACAAAAGGGACATCAAATGCATTGGTTACCCACTGTAACACAAGTGACCACAATTCTGACATGAAAAATGGTACTCTGATCAAAGAAGAAAACTATTTTTTATGAAAAATGTTTAAAATGCCTTGATTGTAAGGTCATCCACAGTAAATTTGCACCCTGGATCTTACATTTCACCATTCCTGGCAGATCTTCTATTATCACAGTGTGGGATATCTAATAAAAGTGATGGATACTTGAGTATAATGAGAGTCTTTATTAGTTTTTAAACAAAAACCAGGGAGTCACACAATGCACAGGTAATTTATTTTAAAAAGGTTAAAAATCATGCATTTTCAGTGACTGGTTGCACTATACAAAAGTAAATTTTTTTTTATACATGCAAAAAAAATTCAAGGGTACACTATACATGAAGTCAGCTTATACACATATAGTGTGAGTATGTGCGTGTATATATATATATATATATATATATATATATGAGAGAGAGAGATTTTTTTTTATTTTAATATTTTGAGCGCTTCTGTTTAAAAATTAAAATATTTTGATCTAAAGTATCAACTGAATTTTTTCTTCAATAAAATCCTTTCAAATACAACTCTAGCTTTATTCTTTCAAAAACGGTCTTCAAAATAAGACTGTGTCTTATACTCCAGAAAATCTGCTAATGACCACATGGCCAATACATATATGTATTAATTAGTACATATACATGTACCTACGTTTTTGGTGCTTTTTTTTTTTTTTTTTGAGCACTATTACATTTACACTTCATGCATAAATTTAATGATTATTTATTTGCTTGCCTGCATATGCACACCAGCACATGCCTGCTTGTATTTGGCAGTTTTATTTATCCACTATATATATTTTCTTATTACTATAAACATTATTTTTAGTGGATACAAGTGTTTGAGCTGCTATCACCACAGACAGCAATCAAACCTGCATCTCTTTTCCCTATGAAGGGAAACCAATTTTTGAACCAATGTGTGTCACTATCAGTCTTATAATAAGAAATAATGTCAGATTAAAAATTCTTTCAAAAATTACTGTTGTTTACATTTTGGGTAGAAAACTGAAGCTAGCAGATATAGATATGTAAAAGTGCCAACAGAAAATGTGCTTTCCTTAAATAGGTTATTCAAATCTTGTTCTGTCAGGCAAGACTCCATGGTCAAACTGTTTTTACAAATAGATTTGTGTGTGTATATATATATATATATATATATATATATATATATATATATATATATTATATAAAAAAAACACAATAATGAGCAAAATAAGGAAAAACTACAAAGATTAAACAGTTTTCACCATTTATTATATTAGTTCAAAAAGTTGCTGGAAAAACATTGTATGTGAAAGAAAGAAAAAAAAAAAAATGAACCTTAAGTTTATACATTCAGGGTGAAAATAAATGAAAAATATTTTTTGAAAAAAAAAAAAAAAAAAAAATTTAAAAAATTCATGAATATTTTTTATCTTATTTTAATGATATTTTTTTCCATTTTTTTTTTCTTTTTAGTATATTAAAAAAAAATTTAAATGGTTTGTGAATTTTTGTTTTTAAATCTTAATTACTGTTTCATCAATGCCGCCTCATTTTTCGTTCCAATTTTCTTTGTTTTTTCTCATTTTCTTCAGGGGGAGCCTCAAAAAACCATGGGGCAAGTACATTCACCCAGAGTAAATAAAATGCCCTTCCTGGTACCTGAGGGAAAAATAAAAAAAAATGATTAGCAATTTATTAGCATCACTTCTGATATATTGATACAAGAGGGTGTCGAAATGTTCTCAACCTGACCAATTTCTAAAAGAATTTCTTGCTTGGGTCAAGAACTCTTCAGCACTCCCGTGTGTGTGTGTGTGTGTGACACTTGTGCAATATTAAAGTAGCTATTCTTACAAATCTATGTTCAACAAGTTTGAAACACAAAACTACAAAATTGTCAGCTTTGAAAATGTAGAAAAAGAAGCACCAATCGTTGAAAGTGACATAATTTACAGATATATGGAATAAAAACTAATCATCCCATATAAGAATCATATCTTTATAAAAGAAAAACGATTACATTTTGTTTACATACTAATTTTATCAAAATAGGAGATATATCAACAGTCGAAATGGAAAGAAATGTCACTATTTTAACAGTTTTCACAGTGCAAACTAGGAAAGTTTGGGATACCTAATCAAACTAAATCTAAAGTGAAAAAAAATCTGTTTTCTTTCTATAATAGAACAAGGCATACATACATATATAACAGTGTTTTTTGTTAATGCAGAACTGAGATTAATCTCACACAAAGCAAGGTGGGACATGCCTGACAAAAAAATTTTCTAAGTATCTGAGGCAAGGTTTTACAAACAGAGGTGCTATTCCTGATAACCAACTCAGACACTCCTGGTAATCCAAGTACACAGTTTTATTGAAACACCATCTCTAGGAAGGTTGGCATTCAAGGTTCCATCCTAGCATATATTTCATATGCCCGGTACTTAGTGGAAAGTGCTTACTATCAATGACAGAGCTAACATAATAAGTTGTATGGATATGAGTTTGTGACCCTGGGTTTCACGCTTTTGCAATCATCAGACAAAGTGGTTTATTTTTTGTTTGGGGTTGCACTATCTTATGCATAGACACATACATACAGGTGTGCAAATTTAAGTTCACACCAACACATCCATATAAGCAATTTGAAGATAGACACAGATACATATCTGTGTATTCGGACATACAAATTACATAAAAATTATAACTGTGTATATATGTATACCTGAACACATGGATATGCATCTGCTCCTAACTCCAATTGCTTATATGGATGTGTTGGTGTGAACTAAAATTCGCACACCTGTATGCATGTGTCTATGCATATGATGGTGCCATCCCAAACAAATGCAGAAGTAGATTCCCCCTCAAACAGTCAAACAAGTATAAATAGACCCAATTTTAAAAAATAAACCATTTTTATCTGATGATTGCAAAAGTGTGAAACCCAGGGTCACAAACTCATATCCATACAACTTATCTAATTTTGGCCATTGGCTCTTATAAGAAGCTCATCCACCCTTTGACAGGTCTTGTTTATCGTACTATGGGGGTGACCTGCCACCTTCCTCACAAACAGAAAAACTAGTGCAGGAACTGGTTTAGATGCTGATGACCAATCCATGCAAAAGGTTGTACTGGGTGCAGGCTAAAAATTGACTCCAAGGCAAATTAAGGCTATTTTACTTAACTTCTACTTCATCATTAATTAAATTTATTAGTATCAATAATATTTAACTACAGCCTTTGTTTCAGACATTATAATGGCAATATAGGAATTCAGATTCTGGCAATTGTAAAGCATTTTAGAAACTAGACCTCCAATCAACCCACTCACAGAATTTAGGAAGTGAAAGGGAGTTAAAACATCTTCCTTTTATACTAATGCCCTATAGAAAGAACATTAACCTATCTCTTCTCTGTAGCTTAAAAAAGCAGAGCAAAGAGTCTAACTTTGTTTGTCAATCTAGAAAAATTCTGAATTCAAAATGAAAGATATAAATCATTTCACTATCTTTTCCAAGAACAATCATGACAATGCAGTTCATTAAAGGATGGAGTGGAGAGCCATGAGTACCTACACCCACAAAGTGACATGGCACATAAGAATGTAAATTGCAGCATGAAAAAAGAAAAATTGACACATGAATGAGATTTATATTTTTAAAAAGTAAAAAAATAAACCAATATTATTGCTTACCAGTAGCCATAACAGCCAAAAATAATTTGATATCAAGCTCAACAATTCTACAATAACAGTCATGAGAATGATGTCCTTGCAGTGCCTGGGGAAAAAAAGAAAGAATAAAAAAGATTGACAATGGAAGGGAGATAACTTATTTACCAACGCAAAACGATTATTTCTGGGATCAGTTGCAATGATTTTCAACCTTTTTTTATCACACGACATAAATGAACCTAGAGTTAAACTGATGATTAGAATTGTAATAAAACCTAAACATATGAAAGTGAATTCATACATTTTCTTTGTTCTTGAGAATTTACAACAAAACTATTAAACACTATTAATTTATTTGCAAAAATAATTTTATATTTACAACATTCTAAAAACTAATACCCTCCTGGTCAAAATCTTAAGAACAGATACAAAAAGGATTAAAAAGAATAGAAATATATTTGCAAAACATTTACATTTAATTAAGAAATGAAGTTTATAAACAAACAAGTGAAAATTTTAAGCTTTTAATTGATTAATTTAAATAAACATTGAAAAATAATTTTTTTTGAGTTGGTCATAAAGCTAAGACCATGTGACAAAAAAAAAAAAAAAAAAAAAAAAAATACTGGACAAAAATTTTAGAACTAGTAAGTGTGCTCATAGCTCATTTCCTACATTAAATTTCAGATTTTAAAATGGCTAAGGGTAAAATTTTAAAGTTCAAAGAGGGGAGGATTGTTGAACTTCTAAGACATGGTCTTTTGCAACAAGCCATTGTAAATGAAATTGACCATAGCAGAACGATCATTGATAACTTCATTAAAAAATTCAGATGTGTATGCCTCTAAAAAAAAAAAAAAAAAAAAAAATCAAGCAGTTGCCCCAATAAAATCTCACCATCTCCAAACAGACACATTAGGCGAAAAGTTAAGAGGTTCAAGCCTAACATCAAATCAGATAAAAGTGAATACAGATGCTGAATGCAGCTCTCAAACAATTTGACAGCATTTAAATAAGAAAAGGTTTAAGGACATGAAACTCGCTTCGCCTTCTTCCTCGCCATAAAACCTCCCATTTACAATTTGCTTCCAATTCTCAAACTTGGGATGTGGATAAATGGAAGAATGTGGTTTTCAGACAAGAAAAAATTCAACCTTGATATCCCAGACGGTTTTAAGCATTACTGGCATGCAAAAGATGTCCCAAAAGAAATTTTCTCAACATGACACAGTGGAGATGGATCAATTATGGCCTGCAGTTCATTTTCATACTATGGAAGTCTTGAGTTACAGGAGGTAAAAGATCTTCAAACAGCTGCTAGTTACATTAACATGTTAAGAAAGGCATCACTAATTACTGAAGGCTCTCATCTATGTCTAGAAAACTGGATTTTCCAGCAGGATAATGCTGCAACCCACAACACTCGAAGGTCAAAAGAGTTTTATGGAAAACAACATTCAGGTTTTGAGCCATCCACCGTGCTCTCCAGATCTAAACCTAAGTGAGGATGTTTGGGGATGGATGGCAAAGGATGTTTATGAACATGGATCGCAATTTGAAACTGTGGATGCTCTTCGTGCTGCAATTTAATGCATCCTGGGCAAGCATCACAAACACCCTCACATATAAGTTAATGAGTATGCCAAAGCAAATTTTCGAAGTAATTCACAAAAATGGAGTATATACTAAATATTAAATTGCCATTGAGACTTATTTTTTCTGTATTTTCTATTTTTATTTACATTTATTTATCTTTATGACCAACCAAAAAAAAAAAAAAATACTTTTTCAAATGTTTGTTTAAATCAATCAATTAAAAGCTTCAAATTTTCACTTGTTTGTTGATAAACTACTTTTTCTAATTAAATGTAAATGTTTTGCAAATATATTTTGATTAAAGTAACACTATTTTATTTTTTTTTAACCATTTTGTATCTGATCTTAAGATTTTGATCAAGAGAGTACAATTAAAATTAATGCAATGCAATATTTATCATTTACCAATTTATAAAGAAATATATATAAAAAATAATTTGTTTTTATTCATAAATTTATAAACATTTACTAAATTCTTAAAATATGCAAACCAACTATGAGGAAATCCTTATTTATCATTTTATAAAATTTGAATTGATTGGTAATTAGCCAATGTTGTGCCAACCATTCCAATAAACATAAATAAAATAAATAGTGTCTATTATTTTTGTAAATTCTCAAGAACAAAGAAAATGTATGAATTCACTTTCATATGTTTAAGTTTTATTACAATTCTAATCATCGCTTTTTAAAACAAACATTGCCGAAGTGTGAAGGTAGCTAAAATAATAATAGTGGTGTCAAGGTAAAAAAAAAAAAAAAAAAACAACATCCTTTTGAGACACCTTTTTTTTTTTTTTTTTTTTTTTTGCAGGCATGATGGTCACAAATTGCTGTTTTTTTCTCTTTGCCTAACATACTATACAACAGTATATTAGAATATATGAAGTAGTACCACTACTACCACCAACACTTTGAATAAATTTCATTACAATTTGTAAATGGTTAGATAACTTGTCAAGAATGTTCTACACTCTGTTTCAGGCAAAGAAGGAGAGTCATAGTCATAAATGCTTAATGTACATTTATTTGTACACTCACTTCATATAAATTGAGACACAAGGTTTAAGTTTTGTGTGATTTTGGCAACGGTTAAAAAATTCCCTTTTTAGAGGACACCTCAGGCACTGGGTAATGACCCCAGCCCACTCCTGAAGGAGAGGTACTTGGGAGATGGCCACCTTGGGCTCATAGCCAAATACTTTGAAACCTCCCAGCCCAAGTGCTTAATGTATAATGATTTTTATAACAGATGCAAGGCTAAAAACAAGTTTTCAATACTATGTACTTTTTGTTATTAAATGTTAGTACTTAAATTTTCTTCTGTAGTTACTTTAATTTTCTTATATATTCAGAGATGCTGACAGTTGTGCATCCTGCATCCCTGACACATCAAAATCTTAAAGGACAGTCATTTTCCCATCTATGCATCCCAAGGACACAACTAAAGTTTCCCATGAAAAGCAATACACTGTACAAATACTTTTTACTAATTCTTTCTTTCTTTATTCGGTGATATGATGTGTGGGTGGCATGAAATAGGTATCAATGTCACCTTACCAGAAACTTTTTTGGTTCATTGTTTTTCAATTTATTTCCCATGCTCAAACTCATTTAAGTTTGCCAACCATTGCTTTAAAAACTGTTTTTGCTTTAAATGTATTAACTTATAAAAAAAATTAAAAAAAAAAAAAAAAACACTTTTGTTTTGTCAATTTAAAAACTTTGTTCTGACAAAATTCTCAAAAAAAAAAATATAGTTTCTTAACTGAACTGTGATTAAGTGTAAATACTGTTTTGTTTTGAATTTATTAATTTAATTTAAAAAAGTTGTTCTGTCATTTAAGTGATTCAGCATGATTAAAATTGTTTTTTGGGACAATGGTTAAAAAAAAAAAAAAAAGTCTGTAGCCCATTACAGTAGTTCACTACATTAATAATCTAACCACATCAGTGCATATTTGATGGCCTGCCTAAGACCCACTTACCTCCTGCACGCACAAAAAAAAAAAAAAAAAGTGTCCTATATGTTATCATTTAAAATGCAAGAATTAATCCTTCAAAGTGGTCAATCAATGTTTCACATAATTGATTTACTTACTCAGCCATTCCACTTTCAAGATTGAGATCAATACCACCATCTAATAATGTGGACTCCTCACCCCACGTTGGCGTTGCCATTTTCTTCATGAACCGGAAACTGCCAAAATATACGAGGCCAGCAAGGCACGACATTATCTAGAAGAGGAAGAGTTGAAAAAAAAATTTAAAAAAACATTTTACAAATTGGCACAACTTTTAAATTTTCAGTATTATCTTATTCCTATTTAAGAAATTTCATATCAAAAACATCAAGTTTTTATTTGGTCAGGTTTCAGGATTCCTCGTGTAATAATATTTTGGTAAGTTTAAATAACATCAACAACAATATACAATGGCCATACACTTATATAACCTTTCTCATAAACAATCAATTTATATATGTCTATTTCTGCTTAGAATAAATAAAATGTTTTATTTTTGTCTTTTAATAAATATTTTTGCATAATATCAAGTATAAAGTTGGCATATTTTCTGTTGGTGAGGATCAATAATTACATTGCCCTCCAGCTTTCGTCGCCTTCAGGGATTTTCAAACTAAACGAGAGTAGATTGTAGATTAAACAAAGGGTTCAATTTTAAATTCCTCGAGAATTAACTAGATTGACAAGCAGCTGCACAAGTTCAAACACAACAGCTGAAACAAAGACAAGGGCAATTGTCTGCATGTAAATAATATTTGATGCAGTTAGTGTATCCTCGGCCATGCCACCAGGATAATCCAACTTCTAGCTTATCACAAAATCAAAGTTAAAAAAAAAAAAAAAAAAAAAAAAAATTACTATCAAAAGAAGAACTCTGACTGTGAAGGAGAATGTAATAAGGCAGTTGATAGTGAACTCATAAGAGGACTTTGCAGATTGTTTTTAAAAACAAAAGAAACATTAGGCTGAGTGCAGGAGATCCCAGAAGGAGTTCTTAAAAAGATACTAAGACATCATTATCTAATTAGGTAGCACAATTCTTTCATTAATATTAAATTAACTGGATCCTTTCCAGACAGCCCCCCACACACATATATATATATATATATATATATATATAAGAAAAGAAAATAACTTACTATTTCAAGAGCAGTGAAGCTATCCCAAAAGAAAATGCATTCAACACCAAAGTAAATTATCTGGAAGAAAGAAAAGGACAAGAGAAAAACAATGTAATTTGAACAAACTGTGAAACAAAGTCAATATTTAAAATTATTCACCCCACCCTAAATGAACTTTATTCATTCAGTAGCACTTGCACTTTTCAATGCACAATATATAGATGTCAAAAGTTTAAACAAGTTTTCAGTCAAAAATTTCAAAATGTTTTATCAAATTTATCTTTCCTTATCACCAAAAATATTAAATGTGGAAAGTGTCTAAAGTAAATAGAAGAGTGATGGAGTAATGGTAAAGTTAAAGGGCAACAATAAGAAAAAGCTAAAGTCTTCACTTTGCTTCAACATATAACTAATTCATTGCCACTACTGCTGCCAGAATTTTGCATCTTATATATATATATATATATATATATATATATATATATATATATATATATATATATATGTGTGTGTGTCATTTTTATTACTTACCATATTTGATGGCATATAAGGTGCACTTTTTTGTTTTACTAAAAATATCTTTTAAAATTCCCCTGAGTCTTATATGCCATATGTAGGTTTTATATTCATGATAGTCAGACGGAATTAGCTACCTGGCAACTGAATTAGTAAATAAAAATATTGACACAATATGAAAAAAAATCTACTCACATTTACAGTAAGAATTATATTTTGATAAAAAGCAAGTGTTTTTTTATTCTCTTCTACAATCTGTTTCTGTCCCTTTGTGCCTTGCTTGCCTTTGGGCTGGAAAACAAAAGAAATAAGCATTATAAGAGAAAGAGATATACATAGAGAGAGAAAGTTTATGAGATAGAGAGAAAGTATACATGTATAAAACAGTAGAAATCATGTTTTACTGGTTAAATATTGCTTACTCCAACAGAAAGAAAAAGATTACCTTAAAAATAAGATACTTTGAACAAGTCTTACAAACTGAGTTAGAATTAAAAAAAAAAAAAAAAAATTATTCCAACTCAGTTTCCTATATATATATATATATATATGTGTGTGTGTGTGTATATAAAATATTGCACTTCCTTCCCAGAAAATTTATGTAGATATACTACAAGATTGAAGAGATTCCAAGTTTGATTAGTTTCAACTTTTACACACTATATATATATATATATATATATATATATATATATATAATGGATGGTGTGTAGGTGGTATAGTGATTATTCTTATTAGCACAAACAAATGAAAGTTCAAATTCCAACTGAGGCTTTCACTTTACATGAATATTCTTAAGAAAGATATGAGTCTATCTCTCTTCAACTAGAGACAACTAGTCAAGGAGAAGGTCAACTTAGAATTCAAACCTCCTTGAAAAGATGTTATAGGTCAGCATGGTAGAGTAAATCCCATTATTCCAATGTCTGAAAAACTTGAAGGCTCAAGTTCTGCAACAGACTGAGAAGATGGGTGAATGTTGGAATATATATTACACCCACACACAAGGTCTGTCTGGAAAGTATCCACCCACGCTCAAGGTCCGTCTTGAAACCATTTTGAATATCTCCAGAACCAATTGAACAGCTTTGATGTAAGTTGGCAACCACTGAGAAAGGACCTTACTGCACATGTGGGCACAGACCATAGAGTTATTCAGTCAACAGTGAGATGTCATCGAGTAGGCCTATCTACTATGTGTCATATTCGTTGTGGTTCTAGGTCTGCTTATTCTTCACATTTCATGCAAGGTTTTTTGATAAAATATAACATCACTCAAGCATATCAGCCACCTTATATTACAGGATTTGGATCCTTACAACTTCTGGCATTTCACAAAGCTGAAAAAAAGCTATTGTTGAATGGGAAATTTCAGACAGGACGAGATTATAGAGAATATAAACCAGCTTAAAGAGAACTTTGCAAACTGCTTTGAAAAGTGAAAGGGATGCTATAATAAATATGTTAGGTCTCAAAAGGAGTACTTTGAAGAAAATCAATATGCTACTACCATAGGTAGGCTTCATTTTTTTTAGATTTTTTAATTAGCATGATGCTTCACACGTAGATGATTATATATAAATAAATTTATTGTTTTTATTCTTCGAAATCCTTTTGGAATACCTACATAACATTTTTTCATAAATATCTAACAGACCCATGATTAGTTTATGACTAATTCTCTTGGAGAATAGATACTTACTCTGAACATTTTAAGAAATATTTTTCTGCTAAAAGACAATCAAGAAAGAAGATCAGAGGTTTTGAGGAGCATGCAACCACCTCTTAATTGCTGGCGTTCCCAAGTTCACCCTGACCTGTGGGGGTAGCATATGTTGTTAGGGCCCCAACTATGGGTAAATAACGAATCCCCAAACAAAACACTATGAAAGTATAAAAATATATTTTTATAGTAAAAATACCAGCAATACATTTTTATCTAAAAAATTACTAATATACTTTTATAGTAAAAACAATAATACAAATTGTAGTGACTTCACCCAAATCTGTTTAAAATACTACCAAATGACCAACATAAAAGAACTTTTTCATGACATTAAGTCATGGAATATCCGACAATTTCTTCAATAAAACTATGACATAAAAAACACATATCACCACCTAAAATCTAGTAATCATTTCCACACAAACATTTATATGCACAAAAGCTTAGTATCATCTACCATGTATTCAATTGTGAAAGTAGAATAACATTTTTATTACTTAAAAGATCCCAAGAAAATTAAATTTCAGCATTAAATGATCCATAAGGAGTTGATATGCTGTTAAACAGTGTAATGAGTTGGTCGGTCAACTTGACACCCCCAAAGTGAGTGGAGGTGGGCAGGTGCGGGAACTGTGATTGGTAGCTGGCTTGTTGGTGTTTTGCATAGGTGAGTTACCAAGCTCTATGTAAAGGGCTGGAATGAGAAGGAGGGCAGTTTTTTTTTTTTCAGTCTTAGAAGTGGAGACTGTGTCCGTCGCTATGACAGCAGGAGAGAAAGAGACGAAATCATTTATTTTGTCGTGACACATTCCAACACAAGCTATTTCGGCATTTACTTTGTCTCTAGCAAGATGGTGGAAAGACCATTCGACATAAATCTCCGAATTCAGTGGTGATACGAGTGGTCAGTCTGTGGTTGAATGGATCGAAAAGGTGGAACTGGTCTGCGAATTATGCAAGCTCACAAAGATTGAACGGATTCTTCCACTGCGATTGAAAGGCGGTGCCCTTGCTGTGTATAGGCAGCTGAGCAAAGAACAGAAAAGTGACATTGAGCCAATAAAGCATGCTCTACTAACCACGTTTGGAACTGACCGGTTTGTGGCCTATGACCAATTCCAGGCGCGGCGTCTACAACCTGGCGAGACAGTAGACATATATTTGGCGGAATTAAAGAAGCTCGCCGTACCGATCGCACCACTTCCTGAAGAATGGATGACCTGTGCCTTCGTGTCTGGATTGCCTAGTCATGTTAAGCAGATATTCCATGCATCATCCAGAATGGAAGACATGACGCTCAATCAATTGCTGACCAGAGCCCGTGCTATCATGATCGACGAAAAAGAGGCTGATGAACCAGTGGCCGCAGTCACTAGACAGGTGCAATCATCTCTTGAACTGAGAAGCTTTGTGATCTTAAGATCAGGGGGGCGTGTAATGAGTTGGTTGGTCAACTTGACATCCCCAAAGTGAGTGGAGGTGGGCAGGTGCGGGAACTGTGATTGGTAGCTGGCTTGTTGGTGTTTTGCATAGGTGAGTTACCAAGCTCTCTATGTAAAGGGCTGGAATGAGAACGAGGGCAGTTTTTTTTTCAGTCTCAGAAGTGGAGACTGTCCGTTACTACGACAGCAGGAGAGAAAGACGAAATCATTTATTTTTTCGTGACACATTCCAACACAAACAGAGGAATCAATCAAAAAAAAAAAAAAAAAAAAAAAAAACTTAGTTTTTGGCAAAAATCCAATACTTTTTCTATATGCTGCATCCCTTCAGGACATGGGTGATCATGGCTCTCCACAACTTCCTGTCTTTTGTAGCTTAGAAAGGGTTGTCTTTTTGCTATCCCCCTTAATCACCATTCTGCCAACACAAGCTAGTTAGGTATGTTATGCACTGCTTTCCACTGTGTTTCTTGCCTTCAATATATCCTATCAGTGTCAAATTCTCCAAGCTCTCTTTCCTAATATGTGCCGTAGAAATTTCAATTGTCTCTTTCTGATTTTAAATATAAGTATCCTTTTTGTTTCCATAATGAATAGGCTAAATCTCTGACACTAATGTCTATTATAGAATAAAAACTGCTATTCTCTATTATGGAATAAAAACTACTGTTCATAAGTATGGTAATGCAAAAGAAGGATTTTCAGATTTAGAAAGTATTCCCCAAAGTGAAACACTATAGGGAAGAGAGAGGGCATCAGTTTCCTAGCTGCCCTGACAAATCTTCTCAAAATACCTCAGTTGGATGGATATTTCATATCCTACCTAGAGAACATTTGTGAAAATTTTAGAAATGGATGTCCCCCCCCAAAAAAAAAACAAACACACACAACAAGATGAGGAATACATTCTGATTTGAAAACATATGTCAGTATATTGATATAAACATAAAATTACTTCTGCCCAATAATTGTGTTTATCCTGTATAAGAGATGTTAAACAGCTTTTTTTTTTGGCTTTTTTTAATAGACCAAGACTATTAGTTTAGTTTTGGTACCAAGTAAATTATAGGACACATGATGAGGATCAAATTCAATAGTAAATGACTAACTTGTTCACCATACTTTTTACCAAAAGATATTGAAAACAGATAAGTTTTAACAATCCTGCTTTCAATAGTTTGAGTTTTTGTTTTATTTAAAACAATCAGAATTCTTTTCCATCATCTTTTATATATTCCTAGAGTCATTTATGTGGATGCTGAAAGTCAAGAGTACAAGCTTCAATAGAAATGTTCACTTTCTCACCATCCTACATTGTTTTTTTTTTTGTTTTTTTATTGTTGTCCACCCAATGCAAGGCCCAAGAGCCACTCAAAGTAGAGAGTTGCTGAATGAGGTGATTGGAAGTAGATAATAATTGACCAAAGTCAAAGAGATTGTAGTGATTGGGCAAGTAGCAGTTCTTGGGAAGAAGCTATTTGAATAGAACCATCTTCTTACCAATGGAATACAAAGAGAGAATGAGGATGATTCAACCTTGTGTACATGACATTAGCAGGAAAGGTCTGAACTAGCAGAACTAAAAAATGTAGCTTACTGTTTCTTACTTATAGAGACACAGATAGAAACACAGAAGAACACATCCAGAGAGTGGATACCTTGATCAGAGAAGACTGACAAATCACATTAGCACAAGAAGCGGCAATCGTGGATTTTTGCTATGGATCTGCAACAAGTCATAGTGCATAATGATTTTGTTACCATAAAGTTTGTGCATGTTGGATGCCCAAACAACAAAGTGATGCAGACGTAGCTTCACGAACAGCCCAAAAGCTTCTTTTTCAGAAGAAAAGAAGCTCATTGAACGATACCAAAAGTGCAGAGGGACTATGTTGAAAAGTGGCATATGCATTTGTTCTTGATCTGTGGAAATAAAGGTGTTGCATGGAAATTGCCTTTACATTTTGATTTACCTTCGTACAAAATGGTATTGGAAAGTTACTTAGCTGTATTGTACCATTGATCAGAAAAATGTATACAATTAATGACCATTGGTACCAAACCTACTGAGTCCATCTGCCAATAGTTTCATGCTATCTACTTGGGTTCAGGTTTTTTAATGT